AGAAGGTAAACCGGTAGCTTCTCGTTCTGAACTAGGATGGATTATTTCAGGTAGTGTGAATAATTCAACAGAAATTAATCCTACTATCTATGTTAATAATATACAAGTGGAAACTGATCAGATGCTGTCTGACTTTTGGAAATTGGATGCTGTACCTACGTTTGACATGCTTACTAAATCGGAGAGAGAGAGAGCATGTGAAGATTATTTCAAATCTACATATACGAGAGAGGAAAGTGGGGTATATACTGTGAAATTACCGTTTCACTCTCCGCCTTCTCAGCTTGGAGATTCCAGACAATTAGCTATGCGTAGATTCCAATCTTTAGAAAATTCACTTCTAAAAAGGCCTCAGATATATGAACAGTATAAGGATTTCATGAGGGAATACCTTGAGCTGAGACATATGGAGGGAGTGCCTGAGGGAGAGATTCTTATTGACTCTACGTATTACATGCCTCATCATGCCGTATTAAAGGAATCAAGTACTACGACTAAACTGAGAGTTGTTTTCGATGCTTCAGCTAAAACGACATCGGGTCTTTCATTAAATGATATTTTGATGGTTGGGCCAAGAGTTCAGCAAGAGCTGTTTCCAATTCTTCTACGGTTTAGAACTCACAAAATTGCAGTATGTGCCGATGTAGAGAAGATGTTCAGACAAATTCGTGTCCACCCAGAAGATACAAATTGGCAACGAATGCTTTGGAGGGATAGTCCTAGTGAGCCCTTGAGTACATTTAGATTAGTGACAGTTACATATGGGACTGCCTGTGCGCCATATTTGTCTACTAGAGTAATGAAACAACTTGCATTAGTCTATTTCAAATTAAAGCTTTGTCTTCATTTCATTCTTCAAGAACCGAAAGATATCTAAAAGCTATCACTTTCAACTGGCTCTTGGCCACTTCTGAAATGGTTAAACTATTCATAGCTTACCCAAGCCAGAAGCATTTCCCCCAAAAGCTTACTGAAAGAGTATGTATTAAAATTTCATGCACACATACTACATTTTCTCAACATTTCTTTCAAGCTTGATAAAAACACAAACATGCTATACATAGTGTAACACAGAAAAAAAATGTTGCCTGAAAAGGATTTGATATGGCACTCTGTTTTACAGGGGAATTATGCAGTATTATCCAGCTGAGTAAAAGTAAAATATAAGACCCTGATGAATTTTATCCACAATTACACAAACTTTCAGGCATTTAAGCTTTTAAATTTAAAATAATATAAAATCTCAGAAGATTGAGAAATATAATCTTATAACAGCATTACAAGCAAAAAGGGCTCGATAAATTAAACCAGTTCTTATGTCTGAAATCTTGACTTGGAATAAAGCCTAATATTTAATCAGTTATGTTATAGTCTAACAATTGACCAAACAATATTTGAGGAATAAACACATTACTTTCCAAATAATATAGCAAGCATAGTCAAAAAATGCAGCGAGTGCCAGAATCTAATTTATTGGTGGTAATCTATAATTAGCTAGTTTCCTAATTTTCGTATACACTCATATAAAGAACTAGAGTACTTTTATACTTTCTTTTCTGAATGACCTATTTAATACATTGACTGCCGAGTCACCCGTATTCAGTAGACAGCAAAAATTTTGATCAGGCCGCATCATCCATATTGGGGTGACACTTATTTGAGTGCTTATGAGATAAAGTAGGTATTTGAAAAAATTTATTCTTGAATAGTGAAAAAAAAATTATTGTTGCTGATAGCTAAATTCTTTCTATTCACTAAACTGAATTGTGCTTTCTTCAGTATAAATTTTCTTTCTTCCTAAACAATCAATTCTTGTAAAATATAATTAGTAGTATCTACACCACATTTATTATCACTATATTTATCAGTATCTGAATCAGAACCAGACCATATAATTTTAGTAATAATTATTTTTTAAAAAATCTTGGCTCTTCCTCATAGTTGAATTTTTTTAACTTGTAAAAGGTTTCTTCTTCATTGCTAGGTGATTCACTTAAAAACGGTTCTTCCATTTTTCTTTGAGACATTGCAAAAAACTAGAGCAACAATTTTAACACACACACACAAAAAGAGTACTATTCGGTTTCGAGGGCCGTAAAATAATTGCAGCGAAAATGTATGCACAAAAGTGTCAAATCTAGCAAACACGCCTATTTAACAGCATGCCAAATCTAGCGTACGCGTTGATTTGAGATTGCGTAAGTTTATATAGTTCTATATTTCGGTTGATCTTTACATTATGGTAACTTGGCGATTTTTTGGTGAAAATTTGGCGACCAACTCTTCTACAGCAACCCTCTATTTTTTTTTTTTCCACCGCCATTTTGTCTTCACGAAGTAAAGACATGTTTCTTTTCTTTTTATCTACTGAACACTTCTTCCAACAATCTACTAGCCGAATTACACTTATGCTAGAAATTTTATCTAACAAAACTGCTTAATCATGACAAATATTCACTGCAAAATTGGGAAAAAGTGCCAATACCATACTCCTTACACATTTTTCAAAATAACACATACACATAAACCATGTAAAAGTCGACTATTTTTACTTAAAAAAACATCCAGAATAACCAAAAATGGCATTGGCACACTCTTCCTGTATCCATGTAACTCCTTTTTTCTCATAAATTAGAAAAATTATGAAAATGCATGACAATTTTCTAATCTTTAAACCCGTTAAAAAGAACATATAGGAAATTACCTATAAAAAAGTATTACCTTTCCAAATGAACATTTCCACGTATAAAATAAATAAATACCCAAAAACTTTTACCTGTAATTATCTATTATATTATAAACGTCACCAACGAATTCATACCGCAAACATTACAAATACTTGTATCAAATATTTAAATTATTCCATGCACGTTTACTTCAACAAACGATATCAAATTCCTACAAACATAAATTCACAAATAACTTATCATTAATTAATATAATTAATTCAAAACACTACTTAAAATATAAATAAGCACATACCTTAAATTAATAAAAATTAGCTTACAATCCTAATACTTTAAACTAAATCATTGCTAATAACAATTTTCCCAATAATACCAAATTTTTTACTTCCACCTTACATTTAGAACCATGCATAAAAATAATCCTCAAATAATTAAAAATACTAACTTACCTAATCTTCTCAGAATCTTGATTACGTGTCCGATAAACTTTTCTTATTTCTGTTTCAGGATCTTTAAATCATACTTATAGTTCACAGCAAGGTACCAGGTAAAATAATAACTAACTTAATAAAACTCTTTTATTCTATCTCGCACACCTTAAAGAACACTTATACTACGATCCTTTCAATCCCACTAAATACCCATTTCGAATTCACTTTAGTTAGGGCCATGGGATCCAAAGTTAACGAACACTATTTCACACAACACAGAATAAAGCCAAATACAAAATTTCCAGATTTTTTTCCGATTTCCCCCCTTTTCCAATTAAAGAACCGTAATTCGTCCATTAATATCACTGACATATCCCATGATCTCTCATTTCCCTCACACAAAATAATGCGTAATTGTACTGAGTACTGCTCACATTATTACCAAGTCCCAGGTAGTACCTTTTATCGCCTCCAAAATGTCGCCAAACTACCAGTTACCATATTCTAAAGATCAGCCTATATTTCTTAAGACGCCATTGAAATACTAGTTGAATTTTTAAATCCTTTTTTGATTTTAAATCCTTTTTTGATATCCTATGGATTTAACCATTTGGGAATTGCCCATGACGAAAATTCGGCAATAGAATTTTGGGTAAAGTGCAGAATCACCCACTGCTTGACGTGTTTTTAAGAATTGCACATACTCTGTATCCATGTTCACATCGACCTATTTTCACTTAAAAAGTAAAAGAAAATGGACAAAATTCCAATTATTTTTACCCTTGAAAAGCAGCAAACAAATAAGTAGCGATCTGCCCTTTACGGATATTTTCAAAGAAAAGGCATCATTCATTATAGAAAAATTACATTTTAACAACCACGAGATGAAATTAATGCTTTAGCGATAAGTCGTTGTGATGCAGACTCCATTCAGTTATGTTTAGCAATTTTTATTAATTATAATAATGATCTGAAAATAGTTATTTACTTCCATTCAGTCATTTTTAGCCTTTTTCATATAATTATAATAAAAAAGTACTATATAAAATTAACCTTTCATCTAAATTAAAACATCAATCTTAGATAGTCATTTACTATTATACTTCCTTTCTTGCCGTAATTATTAGGGTTGCCACAATTATTTTTGGCAGCATTGGCATCAACAATAGTTTGGCGATTTTTTACGGCCCTCGAAACCGAATAGTACCAAAAATTGTTAACTATTTGCCACTACAGCAAAAATATTAGGAAGAGAAGAAATAATTTTCAAATCTCAAATGCTTTCTTAGACACCTCATTCTTAAGGAAAGATTATCAATTGAATGAATGTCTCAAAATATTTTGTTCTAGATGTCATAAACTCTTACTCAGAAACAACTAGTGGCACTCGTGGCCCAATGGAGATTTTCTAAAAAAACAGCATGACAGTCAACGTGTTAAAAGAAATCCAAGGCATATTCTTTATGTCAGAAATTTAAAATAAATATGAAATAGTAGAACATTAATGCATGTTTTCTGACAGATTTTCAGATTCCTCATATTTCATACATAAACTATGTTCTAATTCAAAGTTCTAACACACATATAATTAATTTGAAGCTAAATTCCATACACATTGGATATAAAATTGATGTTTCCCAACTTCTCAGCTAACAAAATTTTGTTCTTAGCATTTCCGTAATTAATCTCATATTACGTACTTCTTTAAGTAATGACTTACAGTCCATGTTTAGCTCAAAATGTTTGTCAAATATTTCTCAAGATAAATTAAAGAAGTTTATTATTTGATTACTTTGCATAACTTGAAGATACAATTAAACATAGCTGAAATTTTTACAAAATGCAATGTTAGAAAGAAATAATAAATTTATAAAAAGAATACCTTTAGATTTGAACTTCCTAAATGTGCAGACTGCCGAAATACATACAAAAGCTGCAATGACTACAGCTAGCACAGTGCCCTAGGGAGGAAAATATTCAATTATTTGCTTTTTTAGTAAAAGAAAGAGGAAAATAGCAAAAAACATTCTATGAAAAGCAATTTATTTAATAATAAAAAAACTGACTCAAATGCAGTGATTGAAATAAAATTTATAAGTATATTTATCAAAGCATTAATTATTAGTATAATTATTGTTTAATATTATACTGATATTTTAATATTATAATGGTAATTAATTATTAGTATAATTATCATTTAAATTATACTGAAAAGCATGATATATCTGTCTGACTAAATACTAAGAACACATAAAGGAAAAAAAAAAATTAATTAAAAATACATGCTCATTTAAAATTGATATATTATATTACTAAGAGTTATTTTCAACAAAGATCACCAAATTACTGGGAGTTACAACAATTATCAAATTACTAAGAAATGATAAATTTGATAATTGGTGTAATTAATAATTAATCACTTAGTAATTTTATTGTTGTAATTACTAAATTTGATATTCAAACATCCAAAGGAGAGAGAAAAAAATCACTGTAATGGCATTACTGATGGGACACCAATAGGATCTAGCTTAACTGAAGCTAGTACAATGCCAGCATAACAAGTCCATCATCAATTCCTACTACAGCTTCCATTATTTGAAGAATTAATTTCTACAGTCAGAAGTGCAGAAGCCAATGGAAGGCCGCCAGGCGGCAGAGAGAAAATTAATAAATAAAATAACTAATAATTAAATTATTAAATTAAAATTCAATCAAATATAAAAATGAAAATAAGAATGTAATAAATTATTTAATTCCTGATAAATATTGAAATAAAAGATTAGACTTCATTTTATCTGCGGCTCTAGCTGGACTTAAATTTCATTCAAAAACTAAGAAATAGTCCAGCCGGCCTGAATTTAAGCTCTGAATATAAAATAAAACATACTACGGCTGATCTTTGGAATATGGTAACTGGTAGTTTGGTGACATTTTGGAGGCGATAAAGGTTACTACCTAGGACTTTGGTAATAATGTGAGAAGTACTGAGTTCCGATTACGCATTATTTTGTGTGAGGGAAATGAGAGATCATGAGATATGTCATGTGACATTAATAGACGAATTACAGTTCTTTAATCGGAAAAAGGGGTGGAATTTGGAAAACTGTAGTACTATATTATTTTGTATTAAGCTTCGTTGTGTGTTGTGTGAAATAGTGGAAGTGTGCGTGCCACGTAATGAAGATTCTGAAGATTAGGTAAGTTAAGTATTTTTAATCATTTGAGGATATTATTTTTATGCATTGTTCTACATGTAAGGAGTAAATCAATTTATATGGTATTATTGGAAATTGTTATTAGCAATGATTTATTTTAAAGTAATTAGGATTGTAATCTAATTTTTATTAATTTAATGTATGTGCTTATTTATATTTTAAGTAGTGTTTTTTTTAATTTAATTATATTTTATTTAATGATCGTGATTTTGTGAGCAATATGTTTGTAGTATTTTGGAATACGTTTGAGTAGAATACATTGAGTATTTTCATGCATTTCATGAAATTTTTCTAATTTATGAGAAAAAGCTGTGTACATGGATATAGTGAAGAGTGTGCACAATGCCATTTTTGTGCAATTCTGGATGTTTTTTAAGTAAAAATAAGTCGACATGTACATGGTTTAGTTGATATTTTAATTAAATGATAGTTATTTTGTGAATTTTATTGTTTTTGTAGGAATTTGGTATACTTTCAGTTGAAGTAAACGTGCATGGAAGTAATTTAAATATTTGACACTAAGTATTTGTAACCATTTGTAATGTTTGCGGTATGAATTCGTTGGTGACGTTTATAATATAATAGATAATTTAGAGGTAAAAGTTTTTGGATATTTTATTTATTTTATACATGGAAATGTTCATCTTTGGAAAGGGTATAACTTTTTGCGATCATGTAATTTCATATATGTTTCTTTTTACCGGATTTAAAGATTCACAAAATTTTCATGCATTTTCGTTGAAATTTTTCTAATTTATGAGAAAAAAAAGCAGTGTACATGGATATAGTGAAGAGTGCGCATGCATTTTTGTGCAATTCTGTGATTTTTTTTAAGTAAAAATAAGTCGACGTGTACATGGTTTAGTGATATTTTAATTAAATGATAGTTATTTTGTGAATTTTATGTTTGTAGGAATTTGGTATACGTTTCAGTTGAAGTAAACGTGTATAGAAATATTTAAATATTTGACACTAAGTATTTGTAACCATTTGTAATGTTTGCGGTATGAATTCGTTGGTGACGTTTATAATATAATAGATAATTTAGAGGTAAAAGTTTTTGGATATTTATTTATTTTATATGTGGAAATGTTCATCCTTTCCTTGGAAGGGTATATACTTTTTCGCTATCAGGTAATTTTTATGTATGTGCTTTTTATCGAGTTTAAAGATTCACCAGAATTTTTTTTCATTTTCGTGCAAATTTTGTAATTATGAGAAAATAGCAGTGTAGATGGATAAAGTTAAGAGTGTGCGCACTGCCTTTTTTTGTGCAATTCTGGGATTTTTTTAAGTAAAAATAAGTCGACGTGTAATGGTTTATGTATGTGCTATTCTTAAAAATGTGCAAGGAGTTTGCAATTGTGCACTTTTTCCCAATTTTGCAGTTAATATTTGTCATGATTAAGCAGTTTAGTTACATAAAATTTCTAGCATAAGTGTAATTCGGCTAGTAGATTGTTGGAAAAAGTGTTCAGTAAATAAAAAGAAAAGAAACATATTTTTACTTCGTGAAGACAAAATGGCGGCAAAAAAAAAAAAAAATAGAGGGTTGCTGTAACAGAGTTGGTCGCCAAATTTTCGCCAAAAAATCGCCAAGTTACCATAATCCAAAGATCAGACCATACTATTTCTAAGAATGAGAGAAACAAAAGCCATTCTTTTTTCAGAACACCAATGGATAAAGGTAAAACAATAAAAGTGTTACTAATGAAACTAGAGTGAATGTTAGAAACAAAATGAGAATATGGAAAGAAATTTTAACAGAGAAGTGTTACTTCAGAAGAGACAAGAATACAATGCTTTCTGACCATTATGCCAATAAAATTTTAGCTGTCAAGCACAATGCGATTGTGGGAAAAAATTTTTCCCCAAATCCAATTCGAAAGCAAACGCAAGGTCTGCACAAGTAACAATTTTCATTCCCTATATTTGGATATATAGTTGAAAAGTCTACGGGAGCTGTGCAGTGGAAGGTCACTAACACTGGATGAGCACAATCAAGGTAATGCCTTTAAGTACTTTTGCGAGCTCCAGCTCTTATTTAGGGATCCAGAGCATTTTTGCTACAATCTACCTCAAAAATTGAGAAGTACTTAGAGCCAAGCTCTAGTAGGATCCTGTACAATTTAAACTCTGAAGCAAACCCCTTTAAAAAATGGAAAATATTGTTATAATGTCAACAGACAGTATTACACAGTTAAATGTATGCATTTTCTTGCCATGACAAAGATTATTACTGTAATTTGAAAAAGTTATAAAACTTTATACATTATTATGATTAGCTTCATTGCCAAAATAACATAAAATGCTAAAATTGTATTCATACTGATACAGTCTAACATTCTGCCACTGTAGCAAATTATATAATTTCAATCAAGTTTTAAATTAATTAATATGACTGCATTATTCACACTTTCAAATAATATATTCAGCTGCTTAAAATACATAATATGTTTGATTAATTGATAACAACACAGCAAATGAGATCTACCTGCTTTTAGAAGAATGCTACAAAAGGGCTATCAAAGCAAAAAATGACTCATATTCACATTACATATGGGAAAAACCACAAAAAGCCTACACAATCACCCACTTGGGAAAAACCACAAAAAAACCATACATCACTAAAACAATAAACATTACCAATATTCATTGACTATATACACTTCGTTGCTGATGGATTAAAATGTACAAGTTTTTGTTTTGAAAATTCTTTGGTTAGCATTATATAGAAGAGAAAGGATTACTTTAAGCATCAGTGCAGAAAATCTAATTATAATCAAAAATTTATATTATGATCCATAGCTTACCAAGAACAGAAAAAAAAAAAAAAAAAAAAGCTTTAAGAGTAGAAATTATTAGAAAATTGAAACTGAAATAAATAATAACTGTAAATAAGGCTCCGCTGTGCAAATATTTTAGGTTATATCCTAAGAATTTCTTATAGTATTCTTCTTATTTTTTTTACTTTTAAAAATACCGAATCTAATTTCACAAATAAAATAATATTTTTACCTAAAATTCCATGTAGTTCATACTCTGTCGAAAATAAAACCCCAATTTTTTACATTTCTACCCCCAATACACAATTTAATTATCATTAATACATTTTAGAAATATATTACAAGACATATTTTTATAAATATAATCAATTTTAAATCAGCTGAAAACCTAAAATTATAGTTATTACGATTAAAATTACAAAAGCCACGCTTCAAAAAAGTCTATTTCAACCTTCAAAATTATCCATTACAAGGCAATCAGAATTAATGCGCATCATTCTAAAAATACTAAACATATAATTTAACAAATTGAACTGCACATGCAAAACTTACTACGGAAGGCGTTAAAACACTGGAAAAAAATAAAGGCCATGGAGTCTGTACTATCCAGTCAAAATAATTTAAAAATAAATGTGGTTCTGTTGATACACTCATGTTTCCATTTTCAATATCACTAAACTTCATTCAGTACATTAGTACTGATAACCGAAACCTAGTAAACAAGTCTTTTTTTTTTTTTTTTTTATTTATTTATTTATTTTGAGTGGTATGCTTAATGGTCACAGTTACAACGTAACCGGTTTATAAAAACCAAATCTCAGTCTAGGGGCTAGATAACAAATTTTCTGTTCTTGACTAATAAAGTAAAATATACTCCTGTTCAAATGTAAAAGTAAATGAGATATTAGGTGACACTTAGATAACAAACAGAGCTTTTGAATTGTTTTGCGTTTGAATTGTTTTGAATTGTTTTGCGTAATGCAGTAATAATAATTCCATAATCTTTAATGTACTTCGAGCAGAATAAGCAACTTCGTTATTTACGTAATATCCGGTACTTTCCCGTTTCGCCGTCGCAAGGACGACAACAAATGGATCTTAAATTTTGTCAAATGCTAACATTCTCCGGTTCTAGAAATGAAAGACATCCGGTTGTCACGTCATCTAGATGGCAGAGGCGGCACATCAAAGGCGAACCCGTTGCGTCATCTATTAATGTTGAACTGCGATGCTTAACCACCAGGGTGCCTGGGCGCCATAGCCCTACCCCTCATCGAATAACATGATAAAAGTTTCGAATTATGAGAAATATAACTGAATGTGCTAAATAATTAAATGAGCAAGAGTTTAAATTCCTAATTGCTAATAGTTAAATACAATTTTTTTTTCCTTAAGTACCTAATTACTAATTCATACATAATTAACTATTTTTTAACAACTATTTCACAGAAGAATACATGTACACACAAGAGAAACAAAATACGAAGTGCAACGCCTTAGTGCCACTAGTAAAAACAAAAAGCAATCAGGAGGAAAAAAGAACAATATACAATTAAGATTCTGAGCAACAATTTGCATAACACATATACAAAATTACACATTACTAACATTTAGGATCGCCCTTGGGCGTTTACCTGAAATTGGGGTCCCTAGTATCATAACAATAGTTAACAACCACAGGATTGTCCAGAAGTTCCTGTTTATCATAAAATGCCCTAGATAGGCGGCAATAAAAAATCACAAAGATCCTCTATTCTTAACTCTTTACGAATTTGGCTATTCCGAATGTACCAGGGGGCATTACATATCATACGCAATACCCCGTTTTGGGCAGCTTGTAACTGCCTTCTCAAACTTTTGCACGAGTATGCCCAGACGGGGCATGCATAACTAAGAATTGGACGCAACATGGTTTTGTAAATGAGCAACTTATTATCAATAGATAGAACACTGTTTCGAGCAATTAAGGGGAAGAGTGAAGCTTTACTAGCTCGAAACTTCCTGAGAATATGTGTAACGTGTGGGTTCCATGTAAGAGATTTACTGAGGATCACCCCAAGATAAGGGACCTGCTTGACCCAGGGAATGTCCACACCATACATTTGCAGGTGAGTCGGGAAATTCTTCTTAGTAGTAAACAGTATGGCATGTGTCTTGTCGACATTCACTTTGACTTTCCATTTGGTCAGCCAAGTCTCTAGCGAATGGATGTGGTGTTGTAGCTGTTGTATTGCTGAACTAACAAATGCACTTTGCGTTAGGATCGCTGTGTCGTCTGCATACATGGCTAGTGTTGTGTTGTGTGTAGTGGGGATGTCGTTCACGTAAATATTGAATAGGGTAGGGCCCAGAAGGGATCCCTGTGGAACACCAGCCCGTATAGGCCGGTTTGTGGATAATGAACCAGAAACATGAACGACAAAGTGTCTACCGGTTAGGTAGGATTTAATTATGTTTGTGATGTAGCCTGGGAGTCCCAGGTTGTGTAATTTGTATATGAGGGCATCCAGCCATACTCTATCGAAGGCTTTGGCGACATCTAAGAAAAGTCCACCAGTGACACGATGTTGTTGCATCCCACTGCTTATTAACTCAACAACTCTGTAGAGTTGATGCGTTGTCGAGTGCTTACGCCTGAACCCAAACTGATAGGGTATGAGGATCTTCTGCTCATCCAGGAAGATGTTTAGTCTATGTAGAATAACTGCTTCCACGATTTTGCTAATTGAGCTTAGCAAACTGATTGGTCGGTAACTCTCAGGAGCAGTCGCAGGCTTGTTGGGCTTTAGCAGAGGGACAATCTTGGCAGTTTTCCAACAAGTTGGGAAGTACTGCCATCGTAGTATGATATTCACTAACTTGGTGAAGTAGAGTATTATCTTGACAGGGAAGTGCTTGATCATCTCATTTGTGACCCCGTCTACTCCAGGGCTCTTCCTTTTCGCAATTCGCATGATATAGAGACAGACCTCCGATGGCATGGCTGAGATAATGTTGTCTGTGCATGGCTGTGTTGTAAAATTGGAGTGGAAGTCAGCAATAAGCTGTTCAGTGTCTGAGTCTGAAATGTTGTTAATGCAGAACTGAGATTCCAGATGCTGAGCTAAAAGTTCTGCTTTCTCAGTTCCGGTGTAATGGATCCGTTGAGGGCCGTGAAGGGGCGGAATGGCGTTATAGCATTTTTTGTACCTCTTCACTGCTTTCCATAAGGAGTTATCCTCTGCAGAAAGAGATCTGAGGTAGTTAGTCCAGCGATCTTGTGAGAGTTTATTTGTAAGAAACTTGACCGCTTCGCACAGGCGATTGAAGTTCCTTTTATCATCACGGTGTCTGGTACGTTGATACGCTCGTCTTGCAGCATTTCTCTCTTTAATCAATAATCTGAGCTCTTGAGGCTTGTGTTTCATACCAGGTTTAACTTCAACCTTGTGCTTTCGCATAAGCATTTTGTATATTTTCAGTCAGTGAGGTCCTTGACCAAACTATCAATGTCACTCCCCTTGTTGCGTCATCTATATTTCTCTTACGTCACGGCGGCATCCTTTGACCGCGCGGTTACCTCTGCTCACTACTCATATCTTTAGATTTTCGAAAGTGGAATTTACAGGGCGCTGTGATCACGTACGATGGAGGCAGGATCTTGGAAGAACTTCTGAATTTTCAAAGGTGTTTTCCAGAAAATCTTCATTTATTTAAGAAAATTTTCGCGAATATCCTCTGCATTGTCTCGTTCTCAAGGCCGGGAGTTCTCCTGTACCTGGGGGTCTTGTCTTCCTTGCAATCTTTTGCAGCACTAAGACGGAGCGTTCAGATAAGTAGAACTTCTTTTCTCTAAGCTAAATCAAATATCTGTCACTAAAGTACCTTTAAATTCATTTATTTATTATGTTCATTATTATTATTATGCTCATTTTATTATGTTCTGGCATTAAATACTTAGTAATTGCTTTAAAAAATCATGTGGTTCTTTTTGGTTACCATCTCGTAGGGACGCTATCCTTATCAGTAGCCCTTATGTGTGTTAAACTACCCATTGGGGCCCCTTTGAGGAATTTCTCGAGAGGGAAAACACGATCTCGGGCCTCAATGAATGTATAGAGTTGTAGTTTTTGCTCCTTTAATCTATATTTCCTATCTATTTAAATTAAAAAGCATATATTAATACAGTGTGCCTCAAATTGATAAATAGTACACATATAATAAATTATGACCTTAACTTAATAAATAAATAAAATGCTTATTTTTTTTAATTAATTAATATTAAAATAAAAAAAAACTCCGTAATTTATTTACTTATTTATTTTTGCTGATTCTCGCCTGTTTTGGATTTATGATTTTATCTGATGCTGTTTTCTGAAAAATGTATGAATATGTTGGAAACCGCAATAGATTGATGTTACTTTAGTTAATGTATACACTTTTGCCTGATATTATATGTATCTTGATCTTGTGTCTTCAGTGCTGTATCTCAAGGTAGATGGCTAAACATATCGCCTAGTTTCCCATGTTAGAGGAAAAAAAGTTTAAATTAAAAAAATTTTTTAATTTTAGGTTTCCTTTCTATAGCAAAAGTTAGCTTTCTAAACAAGACTTATAACTGTTATGTGACTAGGACCTCCCCAAAATTTATTATTTTATTATTAATTTATTTTCCCCCATCTTTTCATCTATTTAGCTTTGCCAAACACACTCACTACACACACCTGGAAGACACTATTTAATGTAAATGTAAACGGCTTCCTTCCGTTTTGACTACACTCATGGGCACAACGTCGTATTTTTTTAGGGAATTTCTCTTACTTCTTTTCCTTTCCTTCTATAGGCTTCTTTTTTTATTTAAATCTTCTTTTTCCCTCTCCATTACTTTTGAGCCATTTATTTTCAATTTTATTTTGTCCCATCTTTTCTTCCTGGCCTTTCGAACTAACGTATAAAATATACGAAGTTCCTTTTTACTCTCCTTTGAAATACGAAATTGCCCCCCTTTCTATATACCTTTCCTTCGCACCTATGCTTGATTTTTCGCCCATCTGTGCAGAAAGACTTAGCGGGTGCAACATAAGACATCTGTCTACTTTGTCTGTCTGTCTGTCTGTCTTTAGGTTTTCGAGTTGGGGGCGATCAGCGAGGCAAGCGGCTGCAGGTTTGCAGCGCTCTGTAAAAAAGTGAAAAAAATTCCTTTCCCCTTGGTGATTATCAATTAAATTAGTTTGAAATAGTGTTTTTTCTACATAACCTATATCTTTTCAAAGAATTTCCGCTCCGATGTTGACGAGAATAAAACAGCGGACTGTCATCATTGATCACATACTACGAAAGCCTGGAATTTTAAGATAAGTACTTTTCTTTCATCTAAACTAAATCAAATTTCTATAATAAGTGCCTTTATATCAATAAATTTTAATTTTTCATCAGTTTTTTAGCATTAAAAAATACTTGAAATTGCGCATTGCTTGTGGCTTTCCTTTGTGAATCAATTCCAAAGAGACGCCAATGTTATCATTTCACGTCTGTCACCACCTACAAGGCCCGAGGAATCTCGTGAGAGGGGAAATTGGGGACTCATGGCATCGCGCTACTTTCCTCTCGGATATTCTGGTTTCTCTTTCTCTTCTTCTTTTTTTTTTTTTTTTTTTTTTTTTTTTTTTTTTTAGATGCTTAAATATATTTTCGCCTTTAAATAATATTATACCTCACCGATTTTTTTCTCATATTGTTCGCTTGCTATCTGTTAAATGTCCATATGTAAGGGATGGATTATTCTTC